TTGTGCCATTTATTTGGAAGAGCTTCATCGACAACTGTGGAAGAACTCTTGTAACCCTTCATATCTCTAATTTTAGCTTTGGCTTTTGAGCTTTGAAGTTATAATAACTAGGTGTGACAGTCTTTCATTATTTCATCTTTTATTTTAAAAGCTAACTGATACCATTAGTCATATAGTTTAATGGTAGAATTATTTTTATTTTTAATAATAAATAAAAGATAATTGATTTTTTAAAATTCAAGTTGTATTCTTATTTTTATTTTTTGAACCTCAAGTTGTATCATTATTGTTGTTATCAAGTTTGCTTCTCCGCTGAGTGGCTGCATTCTGCTTAGTTACAATGGTATATATTTCAGAAAAGAACAGGGAGGGCAAGAGAGATTTGTTTCTTTTTACGATGGAGTAACAACTCATTTTAAAATTTAGCAGATAATTTTGTTGAAACTAAATATTTTAATAGAAAATAAAATAATATATTTTATAAATTAAATTTATTATTCAATTAAAGACTTAGTCTAATTAGTCGTTTTAAGTTAATTTTCATATTTAAAAGTATATTATTACATAATAATTACTCAATTTATTTTTATCATTAACATACAAATGAGAGTTACATGACCATAACTCCTCTAAATAAAACATGTAAAGGAAGTTCCTCGACATTCTTTTGCTTTCTTACATTATTCTATCTTCAAAATATTTTTGGTAAAGAAAGATGTTTTGAGTTAAGTGACTCTATAAGTAGTACAGATTCATCAAGTGTTATTATAAAACTGTATTATATTGGGACCGATATGTTATGTATATCTTTATTGCACCAGTTGATTTACTCTCTGCAGAGTCGTGAATCACCTTAAAGTAAGTAAGTTTTTCATGCCCAATTTGATGATATATTTTTTATCGATATTTCATGATAAGTTCACTAATTATCATTTTATTTTATTTTGTGATCGAGACACAACAATAACATAATATGAAAATGAAGAAAAATATTAAAGGAACAACAAATTTTGTATAATCAGGAGAGAAGATTAGCCTAGCGAAAATAAGAAAAAGAATACATTTGATAATATATTCCTATAAGAGAAATGATTCATGCACACCATAAATCAACACCGGACTCATCACACAAGCATTTAAATAAAAAAAATAATATTTTATTTTGATATATGCTTATCCTAACTTATTCTGAATAGTATAAAAACATGTTTTCTCAAATGCAATAAATGCCCTTGTCTTCTTTCTCATGCTTGCTCTACTTCTTTTGCTAGTCATCTTCCTAAACTCATCCTCTTCGCCATTCCTCTTGTTATGCCAGCAAGTTAATGGTGAGGTACTGTTCATCTTCTTCAATTTTCTTTTTATTAAAGTAAAAATTAAGAGATTAAAGTTAATTATTTGGGTTTTTTCTAGGCACAGAAGGGACAATTTTCTTATTCTTCATAAATGTAAGGGTTAAATTTAACAAATAGTCAGAAATCCCTTCTCTTTCCCATATCTATCTCATCTCCAACACAAGAACAAAAATAAGAAAAACCCATGACTTTTTTTTTTTTTTTTCAAATCTTAGTTGGAGATCTAGCTTGACATTGCCACTCTGCAAAATACGAGAGGGATTCAACCAAGCATTTAGAAGAACATAGCTAGTACAAGCAAAAAGATGGAAAAAAAAATTCATTTGAAACCCATAAAATTCAAGACTACTTTTCCTATTTTCAATTGCATAATAAATCCTTCATCTCTTAGGGTTAGTGAATCTCAATTCCCTTTACCTCAACATTCCAACAATGTGGATCTTTGTGGGGGAAGAAATTGAAATGGTGGTGCTAGTTTCGGTGTTGCTTCAGACGAAGGAGGCTACAGTGATGGGAAAATGAGGGGCTTTTCGTGGGAGGGAGAGGGATTAGGTAGTCTGGTGTTTCTAGGTTCCAAGAGTTTAGATCCAGGTGCTGGTTGGAGCAAAAAAGATAAAAGAAAATTTTCAGATTTGATAAAAAAGAAATAAAAAAAAGCTAGATCCAAATGGGATGAAATCAATGGTTACTAGTGGGTGATGAGTACTCAAATTGTGTGATGGGTACCCAAATTTTTTGGATTCTTTGCTATGGAGAAGCAAGGGGAATAGATGGAGTGGTAGGAAGAGAAAGAACGAGAACGAATGAGAATGGAGGAAGAGAAAGAAAGGAAGGAGAAGGAAGGAAGAAAAAGAAAGGAGGAAGAAGCGAGGAAAAGCAGTGACCAACAGTGGTGATGGTGTTGCTACCGGCACCGATGTTGGAGAAGACATGGAAACAATGAAGAATCAAAGAAGGGAGAAGGGGTTGAGTTATTGTGTGTTTGGGATCAAAAATAGAGTATGGTTGGCTACAAGGATAAGTTATTCAACACTAGTTCTTAATTAGACTATAAATATATATTTTAAAGGGGGGGTAACCCACCGGTGTTAACCGGTGGGTGTATGAATCACTTCCCTCCCTATAAATCAATAAGAAAAAGTATTGTATAGTATAAATTATATTAGGTTGTACAATATTAACAATTGGATGAAAGTTGGACCCTTAACATAGGAGCCCTCTTTCCTCTAATAATCTTTTTTTTTACAATATGATATACTCTAAACTATAAAACAATATTTCCAAATAAAAACACCCAAAAATAGACTTACATTTTGACAGATAAATAAACATGTGCAAATACTTTATGAGCATCATCAGAAAGAAAACCCCTAAAGAATAATGAACATTCCATAAGCATTTCAGGCAGTTCATTGTAGCCAAAGAAATATTACTACCTAAGGTTAGGCTGTTGTAGCCTTGTAGGCCTCTGAAAAGAAAAATAGATTTCTTGAGCATTGAATGTTATATACTAATGTATGAAGCATCGGCATCATAAGTCAATTCAGGGTCATATACTCATATACCATCGAAAAAAGTTACTAGGCAATATTACTTGAATAAGGAAACTTCAGATAATTTATAGAAGATCTAAGTAAATTAACCTCTGTTTAATCGTCTTGAGAACAACTCCATCCAAAGAAACCGCCAAAAATGGCTATCAACTTGGTAAACGGAAGGAGTGCAGCCTTCCTGATTAACAGCTGCCTTCTCATCCATACACCTCTTTCTCATCGGAATATCATATATCCCACCCTCTGGCTTCTGATCTTTAACTTCATCTAACTCCAATGCTTCCTTTCAAAACTGCCTTATTCCTGTTATCACGAGACAAAAGCTTCATTATTTAAGCTAAGTTTGATAAGGCTCGAGCACGAATACCAGCATTTGAGTCCCAACATCACCTAACCAAAGCCTCTAAACACCTTAATCCCTGAGAGTTTCCTACTTCGCCACCCTTATCCATCCCCAGCGGATCATCCATTGAACTCATCAGAGCTTGAATAAGATCTAGAGCTAACAGCCTACGATTAGCCTTTCCCTTCAGTTATCTCCACAATATACTCACATGTTTGGTCCCATCTGTCATGTGCTTCTCGTAATAAGAAGCACGCTAGATATGCTCTCCCCTAGTGCAGCCCAATGGAATCTAATATCATGCGAAAATTAAGTATGTGAGTTTCAATATAAAATTTGTATTATCTTAAAATTAATTAGTAATAGGTAGAATAGTATTTTAATTTTTACATTTAATTCACATTTTTCTATGAAATTTTTACATTTAACAGATCCTCGAAGGTTTCCTCCATGGCTGCGGCTGCTCTTCTGCTACCCACTTCGCCTTCCGTTCGTGGCTTCAAATTCAAATCTTCCATTGAAAATGATCTTCGCTTAAATTCGTTGAATTTTTTTGGCATTCTCCGCTTGAAATATACCGTCTCATTTTTTAGTAGTATTATAGTTTTAAAACCAGAAAAATCCACGAATGAGTCAAATAAGACATGAAATTTTCTATCTTTATTACTAGCATTACTAAAGTAAAACACAATGAAAATTGATTACAAACAAGATAATGTAGAACTTTTCAGGGGCATACAAACTAATAACATGCCCTAAACTTTTTTTTTTTCTTTTCATTTTAGATTATATAATGAGGGACACCCTCTATATTTCCTTTTCCATTCCACCTACGGTCTACAACTCAAATTTATTATTAAATTGCTTTGATTGTTTGCTCCTGCCGTATGAAAGCAAGCAAAAACTTCTACCTACAAATCATTTCCTAAAGGTGGAGTTTCCATCAAGTTCTCTTTCAGACCCACTATTCCCCCTTATACATTCCTCTCGCAAAAGGCTAATTTCCATTGTAGTAAAAAATGGCTGAAATCTTACAATTTCAGAGAAGGATCACTGTCATCCAGCGAATTCTCGGAAGGGGAAACGTTATCGGTTTCATGTTGAACAATTGTAGGCAATTCCTGGTGTTGCCTGTCAACTGGAGCATTAGGAGGCACGTTTAACTGAGCCTGTTCAGATTGCAATGCTGCATTACCAGCAGGAACCCTCTCTGGTAAGCCATTGGATCCACGCGGCCGGCCAGACATCATTGCACGTACTTCCGGAGATGGTGAATTGTTAGGCGGGCATATCCAGTTAATATCGTAATTTGCAGGGCCATTGCTCCGACTGCAAGACAAACAAATTGAAGTGTCAAAGAGATCAATTAGGAGATCAAAATGCTTTTAGCTGGGATTTTCTAATAAGTTGTTCAGAGTTGATTAAAAAGCTTACCCAGGCTCAAGAATAACCGGCTCAAAATATGACTCAATATCCACAACACCCTGAGAATGACCTGGAGTTGCTCTTGGGGTTGAAGATGCAACTCTGATTGTATGATTTGTCATTGCATAATGATTCAACATTGAATTGAATCCTGACAGCGGTGGTTGATTCCATTCACAATTTAGTTGATGAATGATATCAAAAGCAGAGACCTGATGATAAAGTGTCCCATCCCCAATAGCCAGGACAGCAGGGCGTGAAAACGCTTGATAAACTGTGCATTATCAAAATAACGTAAGTACTCCAAAAAAAAGATCTCTCAATTTCTTCATAACCAACACACACACACAAAAATAAAAAAATAAAAACCCACAAATGACTTACGCAGGGCTCTTGTTGATTCCATCAACCTGTAAAGTATGAATAAGATGTCAATACGCCATCTAATGAGTGAATTTTTTATTCAACTTATCCAAGAGAAAGAAAGTCATTCAAATCAAAGTTGATTTGTGACTTTACAATATCTTATTATAAATGTTTTCAACTATTTTTCCCATGTACAACTATTACCTCAAAATTGTCAAAATTTAAAGAGCAAAGTATATAATATTTATTAATTCCATATATATAAAGTACATATAGAAGTAATGGAGCCCTAGAGCTCGCATAATAATCAACATAAATTAGAATGTAAATAATGAGGCAAAAAATTAAAACACAGAAAATTTTAATATTTAACAGTATTTCAGACATGGATCATATTAAAAATAACAAGAGAATTTGCATTGAAATCTTGCTTACCTTCCCTGAATAGGAAACAGATCCCATTCCTCAAATTCAAATCCCTGCTACAAACATCCATAACGACATCAGAATATGCAATAACCAATCATCAAGAACATAAAACCAACTAAACAACATGAAATAAAAAAAATTGCAATTGAAGAACAAATAAATCAAGCCATGGAATTAATGGAAAACTTACAGTGTCTGAATCATCTTCCTCAGAAGCTTCTTCATCTACTCTTTGTCCAGGGATAATCCAAGTGCCACTTTCAGTGGCTCGACATAAGGGGCATCGCATTTCACCAAAAGAATTAAACGTCGAACCAATGCAGTCTGATAAGGAAAAATGAAATATGAAACGGATGCATAGAAAAACAATATTACATCGATTGCCAGAATCCTGTTAATAATGGAACAGAATTCACACTAGGATCAACAAATACACATGACGTAAAAATCATACTAAGGATATCACGAAATTAATTTTTTTAACGTTAATTGAATGATTACAAAATCTTGTTAATCAATAAGAAAAATATACACTTGATATGATAGCTCTCACTCGCCTAATATAAAAAGGAGCTGCCGGTGACATAGAAACTCACCTAGATGGAACTTGTGAGAGCATTGGAGGGTTACAAGTGTTCTTCCACATGTTGTAGAAAGTTCATCCCAACAAATGGGGCAATTGTCAATCGAAGAGGACGGTGCTGACGGTGAAGATGGTGAGGCTGCCATGGTATGATTATCTTAACCGTACTCTGAAAAACCCTTGATTTTAGAATGGATGGGGAATGGAACAGGGAAAAGGGGATTATAAAGAAAACCTTGCCGCGATGGCCCCTCACCATTTCTGGAAATGTGGCTGCTGGTTTGGCAGCCGATTCCCGGAGAAGGAAGGTTTTCATAAATAAGGAAACTGTATCCAATATCCCGCGCCTCACCGGTGTATACCGGGAAGACAATGGATCTGTGTGGTGGGAATTTTTTTTTAATGTAATATGGGGTTGACACGTGTTAGAACATTTTTTCATCGTTGAATTTTCATTGGCCGTTGGCTTTTTTAAAAAAAAAAATTTTAAGGACTGACGCGGCTTGAAAGGTTGAAATGCCAGATACATATTTTGGCACACGACGGTCCACGATCCACGTTCCATTTTTTACCAACTAAAAAGTTTTTTCTTTATTTGCTTTATCCATACCATATTTCTTATTTAAAACAAAGTAATTAATTTTTAAAAATTAAGATATTATTAAAAAATTAAAATGTTTTAATAACTAAAATATTAAAAAAAATAATAATAAATTTAAATTTAAGATTTTATAAAAATATTTAAATAATTTTATAAATAATTTTGATATTTATATTTTAAGGCATCTTAATTTTTCCTTTTCTTTATACATAAAAATATTTTTTTCTATTGGAGTATGCTTTGATTTCAACCATCCTATTCATATATATATATATAAAGGTAACTTTATTTTCTATTCATCATATATATTTTTATAGGATTTTTTAGTTTTATATGATTCTTTGTTTTGAAGTATAAATTATATTAGATGATAAAATATGAATCATTAAATGAGAGGGAAAATTTTCATTTTCAACTGTTTCAGTTTCATTCAATGGTTAAAGTTATGTAGTATAAAATAGTTTAGACTACATAATAGTTTTTTTTATTATTATATAAAAAAAGATTGATATTCATTATTCTTTTCTAATAAATTATTCTTTGGAGAAGAAATATGAATGAATGCCATCTAAAAAAAAAAGGGCAAATAAAGAAATATAATTGATTTCTGATTAGCTATTGTATAGAACATGATGTGTACCATATAGCGGCCGCACCAGCTTCCCTAGTAGCACCGTGCCGTTATTATCCGCTGTCAATTGTGCCGTTTATATGGAGGAGCTTCATCGACAACTGTGGAAGGACTCTTGTAACCCTTCATATCTCTAATTTTAGCTTTGCCTTTTGAGTATTGGCACTATAATAAGGCGTGACAGTCTTCCACCATTTCCTCTTTTATTTAAAAGAATTAATGTTTTAAAGTTCAAGTTGCATTATTATTGTTAATTTTTGAACCTCAGATTGTATTATTATTGTTATTATCATTATATCAAGTTTTTGTTTCTTGATGCTTATAAATTTTTTTGACTTGGACTAAAATTTATTCATAATATTTTTTTTTTTGTACAACATCTATATGGTTAAGGTATCACATATAATGATTGTTTAGTATAACAATTTAAAATTAATAGTTACTAATTTTGTTTGACCTGATTATTGATAATTATTATTATTATCAATGCAAAAATTTTTATTCATTAAATTAAATAAATTACTAACTAATAATTTTAAACTGTTATATCAAATTACTTCATAAAATCTTAAAACCATATTTGGTATGCTGTTAATATTAAGAGTAGATCACACCAACATCATACCGTATTAAAAAGAAAAAAGTAAAGAAATATACGGCACACAACTTCTAAAAGGATTATTACCATCCACAAACTCTAATGATCAAGATGTTTTTACTTTTGGACTAATTAGCACAATCTTCGTCAATGCAGGTTCATGTGAACATATACTTTATACGCTCAGTTGTGCTGATAGCTAGGTATTTCTGCTTGTTTCCCATGTTGAGCCACCAAAAATGTTGTGTGTGTATATATATATATATGTATATTGTACTAGGGGAATTGGGGGTGGGGAGAGGGAATGAGAACAAGGGGGTTTGAATTTCGGTGGTGTAAGTGAAACACTCATACAGTAACCACATAAGTCATGTATCAAAGTTCTTGTACATATATAGTTTATCAATATTTGTCTAAATGAACAGGTCAAAAGTCTATCCCAAGGTGGGAATGCTAAAAAGAATCAAGATGTAATACATTGGCACCATATGTAATAAGGATACTTCATTAGCATCTTCTCAGCCAGCTTCTGCCAATGTAGATGGGGTTCATGAGCGCCAGCAAGAGGTGAAAGTAGGGGATATGGGTCAAAGGTGCAAGTACTACCATACAGGACAATATTCCATCTAAGAGAAGTTACAATGGTCATTTCAAGAAAGATTAGAAGAACAGGGAGGGCAAGGGAGATTTGTTCTTTTTACGAGTAACAACTTCATTTTAGAATTTAGTAGGCAATTTTCTATATTCAAGAGAGAAGATTAGCCTAGCCAGAATAGGAAAAGGAATATATTTGATAATACATTCCCAAAAATCAAAAACACCAAAAAAATAAACTTACAATACAACCTGAAACAATTTGACAAATACATAAAAAGGTGAAAATACTTTATGAGCATCATAAAAAAGAAAACGCCCACAGCCACAGAATAATGGAACTTCAGATAATTAATAGAAGATAGGACGAAATTAACCTCTGAACAAGTGGATCCGAGCAAGCCTTTCCAATCGTCTTGAGAACAACTCTCCATTTAAAGAACCGCTAAAAATG